CCTCCCTTCTCTCCTCCACGGGAGACCACTCGCGCGCACCGCCCCAAGCTTGCGTGCCGAAAAAATGCCTAAAAAGCGTCAGGCCGGCGCACGCATCTCTGTACCGGAAGTAGGGGAGGGAAAGGGGGAAGAGGTGGAGATAGCGTCGTCCTCCCGGCGCACCAACCCCTTACCAAGGCAACTGGCTCTGTAGCCGGCACACTGCAAGTGTGTGAATGGCGCACACTTGTAGGGTGTATGAACGCCCAAGCAAAAGTGTGAATTTTCCTTTGAACCTCGCACACTCTTTACCTCCATGTGTTCCTATGTCGTTCACACACCAACAAGTGTGTGACTTTCACATGCACACTTGGGGGGTTATTTCCGGTGTGTGTACACACTGCTTGGGAAAAGTTGAGGAACTATAACGACTCGAGCGAGAGGAGGAGCGGGAGTAGGCGTATGAATCAAACACATTCACCTTGAGCCCTTACTGTCTGCGGGGCCCCGCCCGGCTCCCGCTCCCTGGCTGCCGCCGTTTCTCTTCAGCTGCACAATGGAGGGGGAGCTGCTGCCGCGCGGTTCCGCTGACCGTGGAGCGCGCGCCCAGCTCAGCAGAAAAACCTTGGGCCGTCGATAAGATCGTATCTCGCTACACATTCGTATATCTGCGAGCAGGAAACAGGCCATTTGTAAAATTCAAGTCGGTCTTTTCTCTCTCTGCTCGCGGGGTGCGGCGGGGCGGGCCGTCAGGGCGCGTCTTCTTGATGATTTGAGAGATTGCTCGGCATCGGCCCTGAGCTCCGGGGGCTTTACTGTGAGCACTCGGGTTTGGTCCTCATATCCATTCTCTTTTATGGGGCAGTAGCCGCCCGGTGCCCCGCGCTCTCCCTCACTCTCTCTCTCCCCTTCACACTCTCGCCAACAGGGTGCTGGGAGAGTGCGTCCCGTTCCTGGAAGGCACCGCGCGCCGCCGGTTTCGTTCACCCGACCAAGATTCATGTCTGCGACCACGACGTAAAAGATTCCAATACTCCTACTTCCAAACCCAGGAAATGGTATCCTCAAAGCAGATAAAACCAAGTGACTTGCATCAAGGTAGTTTTTTATACCTCAAAAATTACAAGGAAATTTTCCTTGGCATGATGCAAATGTTAAAATGAAGGCAAATTTGGTTAGATTATGGAAATTTCCTGTAAAACAACGCAGATGCCTTAACCAAGGATAAAAATGTCCTTGTATTTTTTTAAATTGATTTTCCTTGCTTCAAGGGTGCCATTTTCTGAGTGCATCGCCCCGCGACTGATATCAAAAAGGAGGAATTTCTAATTAGGTCAAGAAGTCGCGTATTTTTATTCGAAAAATAAATAAAGGAAGTCGGAGGCGCGTCAGGGCGGGGCGCGGCAACAGCTGCTCGGCGCCCTCCATCGACTGTCTCGAAGAAACCCAGTAACAACGATTTAAAGCATCAATTACTTTTAAAGGTAACAAAAAGTACTCAATGCTCTCTAATCTCATTCGCTGTTTTTTCGTCCCTCTTCGTCTCTATTCCTGCTGCCTGAAAACTTTCTTAACCTACTAATTTTCAGCAATAATATCCGATTTTTATTAACTGACAATTTCTTTCCGTCAGGAAGTCACTTATTGATATACACATCATGCCTCACAAATTAGTCAGTAATCACAAATCTGCGATTGTCTCGACGATTGATTGTTTTCTGTTTACAAGTTTGTGCGTTCGTTTCACAGTGGCGTTGGTCTCAGTCAGCTTGAAGGTGGGGGAAATGCTTGGTCCGGGGCTCACCCGAGGCCGGTGTGAACCGCGACGGATAGGGTAAGGCGGCCCAACGCGACCGGGAGCCGTAAAAGAGAGGGAGATAGAGAGAGAGGGGAGTAAACGGAAGAAGGGAGAAGGGGGCGCAGGATGGGAGAGAAGGGACCCGGCGTGCGTCAAGATTCGGAAGTTAGGTACTCCAGTTTGCAAACAGGTGCCGGTGGCAGCATTCGGAGCACGGCGCCGAGAGGGGAGGGCCCCGCCGTCTGTCCTTGTCACGCCTGCAGCCGCCCCCTCCGTCGCACCCACTGCGGCAAGTGCACCTGATGAGGTCAACTCGTTAGCCAACTACGTGCAGCGTGCGGCCCCGACTGCAAGGGGGACTGACTGCGACACTTTGTGACGGTGACTGACTCTCCCGACTTCCGCTTTCGGCGCGGAAGTATACAAAAGGCGGACGCGGACACACTTCCGGTTCGATCAATCACCGCGGCCCTTCATATAATCGAGATCGTCCCGTTGGCGGCGGTATGAGAAATTGTGCTCGGCCCGCGAAGTTTGAAAGAGACTCGGGCGGATGAAGAGGTCTGTCGCCAGCGTGACGCTGCACTTATTGTGAAGTCGGCGGCATGAAATGTAGGCGGACACCGGTGGGTTGTTTCTCTGGACCGTGTTTGAAGCTGTCGCTTCCCGTTGTTGCAGGCGTCCGAGGTCCGCTCTTCAGATTGTGCGGCGAGAGGCTGCGCTCAACTATCACATTCTGCTTAAACTACGTCGACGATGCCGACCCATGCAGGAGAAAAGACTCTCGAGTGTAGTGTGTGCAATAAGAAGTACACTTCAGATACCGGTCTGTACATGCACATGAGAACGCACACAGGAAAGAAGCCGTTTGAGTGTAATGTGTGCAAAAGATCATTTTACAGGCGTGACTACCTCAAACAACATTTGCGCACTCACACGGGAGAGAAGCCTTACGAGTGCACCTTGTGCCAGAAGGCGTTCGCTACAAACACTGCTCTAAGAGTACACCTCGCCACCCACTTAACGGCCAGGCCTTATAAGTGTACAGAGTGTAGCAAAACGTTCTGTTCCTCAGGTGATTTGCAGCGCCATGTCCGCACTCATACAGGGGAGAAGCCCTACAAGTGTGCGTTGTGCAGTAAAAAGTTTACTAGATCTCATCACTTGCAGAGACATTTACGTAGCGCTCACATCACTGAGCCTACCGAACTTGTTGAGTGCGACATCTGCCACAAGAAGTATTCCCGAAGGTATCTGAAGTTACACATTCACAGCACACACTCAAGTGGAAAGGCTTTCGAATGCGCTATGTGCTTTAAAAGGTTTACTACATCGTCTAGTCTCAACAATCATCGCTATCGCATACATACGCACACAGGCCCAAAGCCTTTTAAGTGCTCTGTGTGCCCCAAGGATTTTCATATCCAATCTGAACTGGAGGCACATTTCCCTAAGCACAAGGATGAGAGGCCATATGAATGCACTCTCTGTCAGAAATCGTTCGTCATGCGTTATTACCTAACGAACCATATTCTGCAGGTGCATACAGATGAGAAAAAACGGAACTGCACCATATGCCTCAAATCATTTCGAGGTAGTGCTAGTCTGAAGTGTCACATTCGCACGCACACCAAAGAAAAGCCCTTCGAGTGTACAATCTGTAAAAAGAAATTCACTGTACAAAGTACATTGACTACCCACCTCCGCGTTCACACAGGGGAGAAACCCTACAAGTGCAGTGTATGTCACAAGGAGTTTTCGCAGTTAGGTAACATGCAGTCTCATTCGCTTATGCATGATGCACCGAATTCGTTTAATTGTACGGTGTGCAAAAAAACCTTTGCAACCGGATACAATCTTAAGTTTCATCTGCGTAACTCTCACGTCAGTGATAAGACTTTCAAGTGCACCGTTTGCCTGAAAACATTTGGCCGGGAAGATCATCTGATGGACCACCTCTTCACACACATCAAGACGTAGATAAAGCATTTGAGGTGCTTGTGAATGTTACGAGTCGTACGACGACTCATCAAAAGTAATCTAAAGTACTAAAATAAACCTACTGTTGACAGTCTAGTAATAGGCTTCACACTTGTCGACACTTGTATTTCACAGTTTAGAACTTATAAATTTAAAAGTAAACAATTCCTCTTTCTCGCCATACAACTTACAATGAAAATAGAACAGTTTTGATCTTGTATAATGGACTGTTTCAAACTTTTGAAAAACGTCTTTCACAGTGCACTGAATGGTGCTTTCGAAATTTTTGTTTGAGAGACGTTGACAGACTTCGATCTTCGTATTGCATAAAAAATATTTGCAAGGCAAGCCGTCAGAATCCATGTAAACGGTGTGTTAGTATTGCAAAGAAATCGTTTACAACCTTGCGTAGAACTATTTCGTATTACAATGCTTCGCAATTCTTTCAAAAGCTGCAAATAAAATCGTTTCGAACACGAACCTGTTCTTTGCAGTTATGATTGCCTAACGTCACAAATATTTAATCGTTCTTGCTACCTGTTTTCAATTATTTATTTTACTCTTGTGTTTTGTTAAATGAAATGCTCTGTGAAATAAAACGTTTGAATCTAGAAAGTGTTTGTTATTCAATCCGTCTTTTTCGTTACTTCAATTTCTTTTTTTTTTCTTTTTCTTGAGGGTTGGGGAAGGTGCGAATCTAGCGCATCAGCAACAGCAGTGGCGCCCGGCGCCGCCCGTACCATGTGAGGGTGGAATGAAGGGAGGGCCTGGGGGAGCGGGGGGAGCCGGAGACGGCATGTGGCGTAATGAGAATATTTCCGCTCATAAAATGAGGGGTAAGGGGAGGGACGGGGCGCACCTCCGCGTGTGTTTCGTGTAATGGAAATAGTTTCGCACCCGTGCCGCCGCGTGAGGGCGTCGGCGATCCCCTCCGTGGGAATGCGCCGATCGCTTCTAGATGACGAGGTTGTCGCGCTACTAAGTTAAACTCCCAGAGGAATTTTTTTAGTTTTCTTATCTGCCCTTGTCAAGTTTCTACGTTTTTATCGTCGCTCCCGTGGAGCGCTCTGGCAGGGATTTGTAAGTCCGAAATTTTCCCGCTAAGAACTAGAGTATTTGCCAGAAATTTTTGTTTTCCAAGAAATAGTGGGGAACAACAGACTTTTCGGTAAAAATTACGCGATTCCTTGACAAATTTCCCGAGCAGTACTTTTCTGAAATTTTTATAAACCCTTAGCGGTGCCGAACGGGGAATCTGTTGCGCCGGCGGTCCTTTCACGGACTTCCCTCCCATTGGAATTATTATTCCTTCTGCGAACACGGCGGCGGCCTGAATAAGTCAATGAAGTCGACGCGAAAGACATTCGCGGACCAAAGGAGACCGCGAGTGAGGAAAGGAGAGAAAAAAAGAGTGGCGCGAGAGAGAGACTGAGCGAAAAAAACGCGAAATCGGGCGCGACCTTGGTGGGAAGGGGGAGTCCAGGTCGCCAAAAGCGCGAGCAGCGCGGTTGCGTCCCCCGCGACTCCCGAGGGGCAAATCGCAAAACGGCGCTTGCGAAAACCCGGCGCTGCTGGGTGCGACTGAGTATGCAGCATGCGAGTGCACTGGTACCTTTTTCACCTAGGAGCGATTAGATATGGAGCTCGGGAAGTACGCTGCAGTCGGCTGCCGAGACTAGGGTTGTAAATTTCCCAAAATTTCCGAAAAATTTCCGGGAAAAATAGGAAATTTCCGGTAGCTGGGAAATTTTCCTTCTCTTTCGGAAACTTTCCAGGGCTTCCAACCGTACCCGAGTCAAACACCTTCAGGCCCAAACCAATGACGGAGATTTTGTCCTATCTGTCTTCTCTTTTCTCCTCTTCTCCCTCCTCTCCCGCTCTATCTCTCGCGTCGTCGCCGCCTTGGCGCCCGCTATGCCGCGCGCTGCTGAAAATCCCTGAATAAGCTATGAAGCCATCCCATTACTTTTAAAAGTGTTTGTTCGTGATCTATCCCAGACAAGGAGGCGTAATGGATTCGCAATAAGAAGCACCCCGATGCGCACGACCCAAAGGCACACTAAATTTTCATGAACTTTTTTTTGTGCACATACCTGCATAGTTTCATGTACCTGCACTCCTCATCCTTTTTAAATGCCGTCATGGACAAAACAGTTCATTGCTGCAAATATTTCCTAACATTTGTTCACAATTGAGTCAAATAGTACGCAACAAATGCACAAAGCTGCGTAAAAAAAGATATATTTATTTCATATCAGTGTTGTGTGTGTACTAGAGTTGTACAGCGGACAAAATCGCGAGTAAAAAAAATCAGGAGAAAAACAACTGTATAAGGAGTATGGTATAAAGGCGTCCGGTGTTTTTTTTTTATTCAGACCATAGGAATTGGTAATAGGCAATTGATTTGATTGAATGTTGGCCTGGCGGAGAGGCGGAAAGGGGGAAGTCCTACATCCGAGAGGACGTACAGTGCGGGGGCGCTGAGCGTCTATGTGTGGCGCGCGGAAGTGGGAGGGGAGCGGGAGCGGGTGGCTTGCGCATATTAGTTTCCGGGCGACAGTGTCACCTCGCTAGTGTGGCGGCAGCGGTAGTGCGCGCCGGCAAGGCTCGGCTAAAAATCGCGCAAACATTATTTGCTCGCGTTGGAAGCCCGCATACGAATTTGCACGCACGAAAATCCCGAATATGACTGAGTGTTCTATACGGGTAGACATGACGCAGTTTAAAAAAAAATCACATTCGGTGGCTTGGGTTTTTTACTGTGAAAATTTGTACCGCGTGCACGCGTACAGGAAAATTTTTCCATCGAAGATGCCGTACAATTATAATCAAAAATTGTAAAATTTACCAAGCACTGCGCACATCGACCTGGAGTTGGAATGTAATGGCTAGTGAGAAAGGGAGGTTGTATATGTAGGACACATTCTGTAAATGGCAAATCACAAAATGTATCGTACGTACAAATACGAACACATTAGTATTTGTTTTTTTGCTGTATTTTTTATCATTTCTTTCCGCCTGTGTGATTTCGCAGCTCTGTATGGTGGTATTTGCGTTGGCTTAAAGCCATGCACAAACCCCCGAGGACCCCAGTGACGCTCCGTTGCCCCGGAGGTGACCTTCTCTGGGACAGTCTATTTGTAGTGCTCGGAGAGCCTGTCGCGCCGCGCGCTCGCAGCCACCTTGATCACTATCGAACCCTCCCGGGCCCGGGCCCCTCCCCGGCCCAGTGTGCGTTCATTTCCGGTCCCAGTCCGCCGCCTGCAGCTCGACCCCCGCCCGAGCTGGCGGCGCCGAATTCGAAATCTGCCGGCGGGAACATTGCAAAATAACTGTCCAGCATGCACGGCCGGAAACACCGCGTCCGGGACGGGGTGGGGGTTGCCGTTACGGACGAGGGGGCGGGACACGGGAGGAGGAGGAGCGGAAAGGGGGGCAAATATTATTCGCGTCACGTTCAAATATGCCGCGCCTTTGCGTTTTGTGCCCCGCGGGGCTTCCCCGCCCCCGCCCCCCTGCAGTATGGCCGACACTCATTTAGAGGCCGGCTGCGCCGCACGGGGGCTGCGTTTCCAAACAGGACACCGCAAAAAAGCAAAAAAGCAAAAAAAAAAAAGGAAAAAGTTAATAAGAAACTGACGAGTGTTTGAAAAGTGCCACTCTGTCTTGGCCGTGGCGCTTGGGGCGTCGTGTTTTAAACAACTGGGTGACGCGCTCGCTCTCTATGCCGCTAGATGGAGGCGCTGCCCGACGACGCCCTGCTAGCCGTGCTGCACCGCCTCGACAACGGCGACCTGGTCCGTTGCCGCCGAGTCTGCCGCCGCCTCCGTGACGTGGTGGGGCACCCCGAGCTGTGGCGCGACAGGGACGTCTCCGGCGGCTTCCTGCTCATGTCGCCCCCGCCGCCTCGCTGCCGACGGCTCGCGTTGACGGGCTGGAGGAAGCTTCCGCTGCACGCCGCCGATGCGGCCCGGACCACCTCGTGCGCGGCCGCGGGCCTCAGCGTCCTCGTCGACGCGCACCCGCTGGTGGCTGCGGGCGTCATTCGCCGGCAGGTGGAGCTAGGTCGCCTCACCGAGCTGGACATCGCCTTTTCGCCCGCCTGCTGGCATGCAGGCGAAGGTCTCCTCCTCAAATACGCCCTGCAAGTCGGGGGTTTACGTGAGCTGCACATCGGCTCCTCGACACACACCCACACCCACACGACGGGCTGGTCGACCCCGGTTGCGCCGTCGCTCAAGAAGCTCGCGTACGGTGGAGACAACGCCGTGCTGCTCAAGGTCCTCCTGCGCGCGCACGCCGCCACCCTGGAGGTGGTCAGGCTGGACCACCTGGGCGGCTGGGACCGTGAGGTCACCGACCTGCTCTCGAGCATCACCCACCCCTGGGAGCTGCAGTGCCACGTTGTGCGCGGCCTGGGCCCCAAGCTGGCCGAGTGTCGCTCGCTGACATCCCTCAGGCTCACCGTCCAGGACGATGACTTACTCCTAATGAAGGACGCCACAAACGCAATCAGCTTCGTGCGCCAGAGCCACATCACTCGTCTCTACGTGCGCGGTCGCAATAAGTTGCCAATGTTCCTAGTCAGGATGTCGGGAGACGATGGCACCCCTATCAGCAAATCCAAACTGACGCACGTGGAAGTGGACATGCGCGATTCTCCTTTAATAGAAGGGACTGTAAGTATTTACACAGCTTTTGCCTGTTCGTCCTGTATTTAGTCGTTGCTGCCTTTCCAAATCCTTTACAGCCCCTTTGTTGATTACAGCATTACGAGCTACAGAGGGGTCTCTTTATGGTTCTTGGTAGTTTCCTTCCCGCCCTGGAGGTGTGTATTTTCAATGGTGAACTCTGCCCCCTAATCTTACGGGACTGAGACGGAGATACACAGACCTGTGCAACAATATGGCATGTCTTTGAAAGACTAAGAGAATTT